TTTACACAGTAGTCATCCCCATAACGTTTACTCAGTAGTCATCCCCATAACGTTTACTCAGTAGTCATCCCCATAACATTTACATAGTAGTCATTCTCATAACGTTTACTCAGTAGTCATTCCCATAACGTTTACACAGTGGTCATCCCCATAACGTTTACTCAGTAGTCATTCCCATAACTGTTATACAGCAGTCACCACCATAACATTTGTATACTAGCTATTCCCATGTTTACATAGTGGTCATCTTCATAACGTTTACTCAGTAGCCATCCCTATAACGTTTACTCAGTAGTCATCCCCATAACATTTACACAGTAGTCATCCTCATAACGTTTACTCAGTAGTCATTCCCATAACGTTTACACAGTGGTCATCCCCATAACGTTTACACAGTAGTCATCCCCATAACGTTTACACAATAGCCATCCCTATAACGTTTACACACTAGTCATCCCATAACGTTTACACAGTAGTCATCCCCATAACGTTTACACACTAGTCATCCCAATAACGTTTACACACTAGTCATCCCATAACGTTTACACAATAGTCATCCCTATAACGTTTACACACTAGTCATCCCATAACGTTTACACAGTAGTCATCCCCATAACGTTTACACACTAGTCATCCCCATAACGTTTACACAGTAGTCATCCCCATAACGTTTACTCAGTAGTCATCCCCATAACGTTTACTCAGTAGTCATCCCCATAACATTTACACAGTAGTCATCCTCATAACGTTTACTCAGTAGTCATTCCCATAACGTTTACACAGTGGTCATCCCCATAACGTTTACACAGTAGTCATCCCCATAACGTTTACACAGTAGCCATCCCTATAACGTTTACACACTAGTCATCCCATAACGTTTACACAGTAGTCATCCCCATAACGTTTACACACTAGTCATCCCCATAACGTTTACACACTAGTCATCCCATAACGTTTACACAGTAGTCATCCCTATAACGTTTACACACTAGTCATCCCATAACGTTTACACAGTAGTCATCCCCATAACGTTTACACACTAGTCATCCCATAACGTTTACACAGTAGTCATCCCCATAACGTTTACACAGTGGTCATCCTCATAACGTTTACTCAGTAGTCATTCCCATAACTGTTATACAGCAGTCACCACCATAACATTTGTATACTAGCTATTCCCATGTTTACACAGTGGTCATCTCCATAACGTTTACTCAGTAGCCATCCCTATAACGTTTACACAGTGGTCATCCCCATAACGTTTACACAGTAGTCATCCCCATAACGTTTACACAGTGGTCATCCCCATAACGTTTACACAGTAGTCATCCCCATAACGTTTACACAGTAGCCATCCCTATAACGTTTACACACTAGTCATCCCATAACGTTTACACAGTAGTCATCTCCATAACGTTTACACAGTAGTCATCCCCATAACGTTTACACAGTAGCCATCCCTATAACGTTTACACACTAGTCATCCCATAACGTTTACTCAGTAGTCATTCCCATAACTGTTATACAGCAGTCACCACCATAACATTTGTATACTAGCTATTCCCATGTTTACACAGTGGTCATCTCCATAACGTTTACACAGTAGCCATCCCTATAACGTTTACACAGTAGCCATCCCTATAACGTTTACACAGTGGTCATCCCCATAACGTTTACACAGTAGTCATCCCCATAACGTTTACACAGTAGCCATCCCTATAACGTTTACACACTAGTCATCCCATAACGTTTACACAGTCGTCATCCCCATAACGTTTACACACTAGTCATCCCATAACGTTTACACAGTAGTTATCCCCATAACGTTTACACAGTGGTCATCCTCATAACGTTTACACAGTAGTCATCCCCATAACGTTTAGTCATCCATAACGTTTACACAGTAGTCATCCCCATAACGTTTACACAGTAGTCATCCCCATAACGTTTACACACTAGTCATCCCCATAACGTTTACACAGTAGTCATCCCCATAAGGTTTACTCAGTGGTCATCCCCATAACGTTTACACAGTAGTCATCCCTATAACGTTTACACAGTAGTCATCCCCATAACGTTTACACAGTAGTCATTCCATAACATTTTTATACTAGTTATTCCCATGTTTACACAGTAGCCATCCACATAACTTTACACAGTACCGGTCCCCGTAGTTATGGGGATGTTGCCGTCAACATGGCGCTGACATAGATAACAATTCAACAATATATGTTTTGAGAGTATAGCTATTGTGTTACAGCGCATTGTCTTATGAAATGTGACACTATTAACAATATACACTAGTACAATACGATGTGTAGTATCAGAGCCAATCACTGTATAGCGTTTCCAATGTTACAATAGACTGTATATGACATTGACAAAGTCCAGACCCGTGTGCTTGATATATGAGTCAGTAACTAGTATACACAATATGTGCTATATACATTATTTTATACATCAAACGTTAATGTGATATGTAGGGTATGGGTACACATTTGACATAGGATTTTTCTGAAATTGTTACCCGTGACTAGGCATTTGAAAGTCAAAAACATAGAGATATCTGAACTACATTTTAAATCATAGCTGTGTGTATTTGACCAATTTTCAATTCAAAATAACCAACAGAGTATGGTTTAACGCCATGGGGAAATGGCAGTTACCCCCACGCAACCCCGTCCCCCCTACTTTTTTTTTTTATTTGCTCGTTGTCATTTATTTTATGAGACTGCTCGCATAGTAATAAAATATAAATTTGTTTAGCTATTTGTTAGCCGCCCCAATTCATGACCTTCGAGGTGCGCAGAACTAACCCATCCTTACCTTGCCAGCCTTGTGACTGCAATGCGGCGAAGGGCAGGCAGGCTATGGCGGTTTCTTGCGAAAACGCGTGATTTGATTAAAACGGAGGTTTTATGTCGTATTAAAGAACAACTAAAGCAACTTTGGTCATTTTGTTCACAGCATTGTGCGTAACTATTTCATGTATTGCCGTATTTAATAAGGCAGTATGGCACCGCGCTGGTGCTTGCATCGCAGACGTATAAAAATATCTAACTCACCCTGCCAAATGCTCCGACTACCAGGACTAAGACAAACAGACTAACGGTGATAAACTTGCCCATACTGGCTATGCGTTAAATGTTGTAATATTTTCAGCGGTGGTAACTACGATCATTCAAGATTCAGCGCAGTTCTCGACTATGTAGATTTATGCAAACTGTGTGCAGTGAGTTTGGTCACGTGGTATGTGATCAACATGTCCATATGTTTACTGTGTAATAGAGACTTTTAATATTCAAATATAATGAGTATTAACAAGATGCCAGATTACTTTCTTAGTTCAATTGTTTTATTCTCCATATGTGATGGTATAGAAAATGACGTCTAGATATATAACGTATCAATATTTCACACACGTTTTTCATACGTGATATACAAGTTACCCAACAACACCGCTAAACTGAACCACATGAACAAAACAGTTTCACCTTTCGGACTTCCATAGTGAAATTGACACGATAGCACTGAGACTGAATGATATTACCAATCACAATACTTCGCTATACAGAACTTTAGTTCGAACAATACTGAAATGCAGTATCTCATTTCGTTTGTCACCAACTTCGTTTTTTTTTAAATGAGCCAACTACCTACATGTACCGACGCAACGTTATCAATCTCTGGCACAACAAGTAACGTTTTTACTTTTCAATCATTATTGACAAATAAAATTAATGATATCCTTTTCGTTCTTGCATTTCATTCACGACAACAACAGCAACAATGGAACCTCCCAAGGATGTTTGCGTTGACAACGCTCTTGTATGTGCACTCCGGCTGTGATGAAGTAATTAACACTGTTTTTCCCTGCATTCTTCGCCTTGGGATACTGTAGTTCGGGTTGTGTTGGTGAACCTTTGGTAACTTTGCAGGGTGTGCGGCACAGTTAACAAACAATTGATATACATTGCCCACGACCTAATTTTACTTTTCTCATACAATGTCACGAAAGAGACATCGCTGGTCAATTTATTTTCCAAGAGTCACGTGGTTTTAACACACTATGTTGATATGGATGCTTGCTTTGCTATGCGCTTTTAGACAGTGACACGCACCGCTAATATAATCCCCTGGTCACTGTTGTGTTATTTTAGTTTGTGACACCCAGTACTAACACTGTAACTTGCATTTCTATATGATTAGGTTGTGGCACGCAGTGCTAACATGGTCCCCTGCACCGCTGTATGATTTAAAGTTGTGACACGCAGTGCTAACATTGTTGTTTGGTAAGATACATTACCTGTATTGTGCTTACAGAGTGATTGTGTTATTGATACAATGGCTGCGTGCGTGTGCGATAGACCGTGTAAATACGTCGGTAGGTTGCGAAAACATGCCATTCTATTATATTGGTCACAGTGATTTCATAAAGACAATATGGACGTGTATCGGGATGAACTTAAAGCGAAGACATAAACCACGGGACAATTGGTCATTGACAACTAAATTGTGCCAGGTCATTTTTAGACTATTAAAAAGACATTTATTGTGTTTGCGAGTTTGTCACTTTTGTATATAATCCTCGAATGGTTTCTGATTTTTGTTTGAATGATAATAATTCTTTTCCTCGTGTTAGATTTACGACAGAGCATTGTCGCTTTTAATTGTTGCTAGTTACAGAATGGTGTTATTGATTTACATGGTAGGTTGTTTGGAGCGTGCAGGAAGAATTTCATCACTGGATGCTTTACCATACGTAATAGAAGTAACATGTTTTCCGAATCGAAGATACTAGCGTGACACTATATATATGTTTTGTTTACGTACCATCAACGTATAATAAACAAATGCTTTCGTACGCTACGGTTTGCAGTCATCCTCGTCTTATATATACTTTGAATAACAATAAATGAATTGAAAGTTATATTGCAAATATAATTGTAACTCACCCTGCTAACAGCCTCGACTACCAGAACTAAGATAATCAAACTAACTGGGATTAGCTTGATCATACTGGCTTAGCGTTAAATGTTGTGATCTACTCGGCGGTGACACTTTTGTTATTGGGGATTCAGCGCTGTACTTAACCATGTTCATTTATGCAAACTGCATGTATTGAGTCGATCACGTGACCTTCACGGTCGTCAACCAGTAACATTCCAGTAGTTGGGATATTTGATTGGTAAATAAATCTATGAGCGTCATCTAGTAACATTCCAGTTGTTTAGGTTATTCGTAATTTGCAAGGGAGTCAGATTGTCATGAAGGTCTGTTGATGAAGACCGCTGTTCAACGGTATCACGTGTTGGTTTCTGATGCTTACGCCCGTCTGTTCTTAGTTACAGCAAGTGGCGTGAGCATGTTAATAAACCCGATCCCACTGAACAGATATGAAATTGAACTTGTTAACTAATTAATTTCATAAATGGTTTAAGTGAACAAGCTGGTGAAAACGTGACTGGCCTTGTTGTTTGGACGTGTCGGTTTTGACACAATGAAGACTCAGATTACATATTTTTGTCCCTTAACATATTTTGGCTTCGAGTTATAAAATTCATTGCATAAGCAAGCTATGTCAAATGAAAATTTAATATTTCTATCTCATTCTCGGTACAGAATTCATTATTCGTATCACAAGGTATTCGGGTATTTCTATTAAAGTCCTTCATTTAATGATTGTATCGTTGCGAGTTCAAATCGGTTTCAAGCTTTAAAAAATGTTGTTACATTTATTACTATGTTTTGGATTGTGAATTTTCTCACCTACATTCGGTCATAATCTGCCCCACGGTTCTGTGCTGAAATGTACGATTACCATGTAGCAGTGTTCCACGCCCTGGACAACACAAGGTTTTACGGGTTTCTGTTGGCAACTAAAAGCTTAAAGAGTGATCTATTTTATCACCACAGGTTGTGCATCGAATATAGATTGCATTTATTTAATGGGATTCCTAGTATTGAGTACTGTAGAGCAATTTATAGTGACCAAGGACAAACACAACAAGGCTGATCAACATATACAAGTATATATCAACGCAATACGTCGAAGAAGAAACTATGTACTCACTATACGCACAGAAATGCCTCGAAGCGAATATTCTAGCCTCAATTCTGCGCACGAATGTCAGATAGGTGTTAAACTAATCTGCTACGAGATGTCTACTTTAGCATTACACAGTCTAGTCCATTCGGAGCGGTCTGGTTTGATGTTATAGCTTAGGGCTACACAATGTCGGTACGGTTTCTGTTCGCCGCACATTGTCTTTTACTGTGTTTTTTTTACTGTGTCACAGACATCACAGAATACGTGCATACATTATATGTACTTAGATTCGGTTAGTCAGATTCTCGTGAAGGTCTCTATTGATGAAGACCGCTGTTCAACGGTGTCACGTGTTGGTTCCTGGTGCTCATGTCCGTCTGTTCTTTGGTTGCCACGACGGACCTAACTTAAATGCTGGTGACCATAGCTGAATGGAAATAAACTATATGCGGCACAAATAACTCCGATAACACATGCCAAGCTTAATAACGTTCATATTACCCTTCCATGTGATTACGTATGTTTATCAGTAATGTGCCTGGTTAAAGGGCGGTAGTCGTCGTGTCGCGTCCTGTTCAATATGGGACTCATAGCGACGTATACAACGCGTGTAATATACATTGTTTATTTACATGACATTCGAACACGCGCTGCGCGACGACCACCGCAATGTTATATTTCGTTAACATATCTGCATGGTACTGTTTGGACTCACCATCCTAATTGTTACAATAATCCACAGACCCACACCCTAAATTGGGTATGCTGTGGCTAGAAATAAGATAACTTGGTCACCGAATTCGAGTTTCGAGTTTCGAGTTCTTAGCCCTCATGTCAAAATGGTGTTTTTATTTCACTCGAAATGCTCACAATTCCATTTCTTTCAACTTCCGTGTGTGTTCAAGACGCTCTTGTATACCTAATACATATTTATATGTAGTTTTAGTCTCGGAAGAGGGAATCTCAGTCACCCAGGGCTCCCTCAATATAGTCGTGAGATCATGAACTGTCCGTCAATACTCAAACGGCGAGAACGCAACACTATTATGATTCACGATGTGCAAATAGCTGTAGGCGACATACCTTTACCAATCGTTGGGACGTTTACAGAATATAGGTCTTAAAGCGCGGTGGTCGTCGCGCAGCGCATGTTCGAATGTCATGTAAATAAACAATGTATTTTACACACGTTGTATACGTCGCTATGAGTCCCATATCGAACAGGACGCGGCACGACGACTGCCGCCCTTTAAATAGCATCCTACAAAACTGTTATTGTAGCCTCAGGCTTAGTCGCATATTAATCAACTAAGGTATTGATTACCTCTTTCCGTTACTTGTGGCATTCTCCCCACTCGGTCTACAGTCCCCCTATTAAAGCG